TCTCCCCAGTCACTGGTCTGTGCCTGGGTCTCTTCTTCCTCCACCATCACCTGGAAACCTTCTCCAGGTTGTAGGCTGGGTCAGTTGTGGAGCTCACCTCATGGTTCCGAAACTCGGTGATCACTGCCCTTCGTTGCCTAACGTCCGATGTCTTACAAACTATTGTTTTATGTATCTTAAAGTTATTCTTGGTGAAAGAGTTCATCCCATTTGTGTTACCCCATCTTGGTTGGAAGCAGAAGTCATTCCGTGGCATTATAATTTTGAATGCGCTGTCTCCCTTTTCTTTCTCTTTCTTGCTGGGACCACGAAACTAATTTCCAGGATTTCCTGTCAATCTGTGCTCTGCTTCCTCAAGCTCCTGGGATCAGAGATCTACCTCTCTACATATGCTTCAATACCTTGGCCCTTCGCAAGCACAGCTACATTACTCTCTTGTTCCTCTGGTGCAGAATGGCTTTCTGTTTCAGAGTGTAACAACTTAGTTACGGAAAGAGAATTTGATAAGTACATATGGAAACCATACGTATTCCATACGAGAATATATTTAGTTCACATATTCAGCTATTGATGAAAACACTTTAAGGGTAATTTTCTTATTTTGTGCTAAACACATGGTATCAAAATTTTTCTTGGACTGTTACCATCTATTTTACTTTCAACCTATGGAATGTAAGATATTTTAGTTTTCTCAAAGGAAAAATAAACAGCAAAATGGGGCCCTGCTTAACCATCTAATTTTTCCCCAGATTTATGCAGATTCCACCAGAATGGGCTTATCTGTGAATTGATTTATCCATTCACCAAAAAATTATAGTATTATACTTAGGACTGGTAATATAAAATAAATATGGCAAAGTTCTTGCTCTTGACAAATTTACGATCTGTTTGAGGAGGCAGACTTATAAATACACAATTAAATGTCAGTGAAATACACGCTTTGATTCTGTGAAACAGGACTGAGATGATGGTGACCTGAATTAGAAAAGAGACAGTTGAGAAGGGGAGGAGAGAAGGAGCCTAAGAGGCCATATCTATAGGACTTAGCCTAGAGGTGAGGGAGAACAGGCAGGTGCCTCCCAGGTCTCCAGATTAAACTTTTAAATGGATGGTTGTATCACTGTTGACTGGGACGACATGTTAGGAGAACTGTTTAAAATTGATGTAGTAACCATGTTTATTTTTTCCTTTGTTGTTCTTGACCTTTTGTTTTTCTTTTTTGTCCTTGCAGTCCAAGCAGTCCTTGCATCGGCTGCTGTCTTTATTTTATTTTTTTCCAGCTTTATTGAGATATAATTGACACATAACATTATGTAAGTTTAAGGCGCACAATGTGTTGATTTGATACATTTATAAATTGCAAAATGATTATCACCATAGCATTAGCTACCACCTCCATCCTGTCACAAAATTATCATTTCTTTACTGTGGTGAGAACATTTAAGATCTACTTTCTTAGAAATTTTCAAGTATATGATACAGTATTATTAGCTATAATCACCATGCTGTAAATTAGATCCCCAAACTTGATAATCCTATAACTGGAAGCTTGTACCCTTTGGCCCACATTTTCCCCAACCCCTGGTAACTTCCAGTCTACTCTGTGTTTCTCTGGGTTTGGCATTTTTAGATTCCACATATAAGTGAGAGCATACAGAACTTGTCTTTCTCTGTCTGACTTATTTCACTTAGCATAATGCCCTCAAGGTCCAAGTTGTTGTAAATGGCAGGATTTCCTTCTTTCTTGTGACTGAATAATATTCCACTGTGTGTGTGTGTGTGTGTGTGTGTCTGTCTGTCTGTCTGTCTGTCTGTCTGTCTCACATCTTCTTTATCCATTAATTCATCACTAGACACTTGTGTTGTTTCCATATCTTGGTTATTGTGGGTAATGCTGTAATGAACATGGAAGTGTAGGTATCTCTTTGAGATCCTGATTTTAATTCCTTTGGATACATAGCAGCAGTGGGATTGATTTATTAACCATTCTTATCTAATATTTTCCACCAGAATATTAAGAATCCTATGTGACAGGTATAATAATTAGCTCCCTGAAATCCCTTTTAAAATAATTTCTCTTTTAAGCATCAAATATAATGCTGTTCAAGTTCCATTCAAATTTAGGTTTGCTTGGATTGTCACCATCTCTCTATTTTACTCACAGCAGCAGTTCCTCAGTAAATTGGAGCATACAGGCTCAGTTAAGCCATACAACTACTCACCACTGAATTGAACCACTTTATAATTTTGGTCATTAATATAAAACAGATCAGTAATACCATTTCTCAGTATTTCACAATTTGATATTTTAAATGAATGCATCATAATCAAATCTTAAAAGGCAGTTGAAAGGAGAGGTCCTGAGACTCCTGTTGGATTTTGTACAGTGAGGAGCTAATGGAACATAAGAACAGACTTTGTTTTCAGAGGTTTAGGTCTAACGGGCCTGAATTGCTCTTCTTCACCCGTGAGGTGTACCCACCTCTGGGACATGTGACAGCCGCCACCATCCCCCCACGTTCTGAGCATTTTACCAGTACACAGAGGCCAACCAGGCTTTAAAATATATTTTCTATTCATCTGTTTCAAAAAAAAACCTTCATCTCCATAGAAGAGGTGAAATTTCTAGTGCAAGGAAGCTCAGAATTACTGGGAGGACCCTCTGTGTTTGTTTATTGAAACATGGGATCTTACTATTTTGTAGGTGATGTCAAACTTGTTAATGCTAAAAGCAGGGGTCCATAAACAGCATATGTTTTAAGTCCAGTTAGGCAAGGAGCCAGCCGCCCCTGGACACTTGCCCAGCCAGGCTGACGCAGAATGATGAAGGGAACGCATATGGCGTTTTCAATCTGGGGCTGGCAGTGTTGCCACACACTGGGCCTGGAAGGTCCCAGACAAGGCCGATTGCATTCCTATTACGTGGTCTCCATTCCAGTGAAAAAGAGCACACACGTGTTCTGTCTAGTGTTTCACATGATTGAGTTTATGGCATCCATTGGGGTTATTATTTTTTCACTTAAAAGGCAGCATCCAAAAGATGCTATAATAAAACATGCTGTAAACAAAGGAAAATGAAATCAACTGTCTTCCAGTGTGTGTTGGTGTGGGGTTGGGGAGCATCAGGGTGGGCCAGGGAAGGGAAGCAAGAGGTGTTAAATCAGGAAAGTGGTGATGATTATTCTACATGTTTTCTGTTAGAAGCGTATGAAGTCACAAACATGAAGAGCCCTCGAGTATTGTCCCTTGTAAGAAAATTTTAAAAGATAGGCCCTGCGTAAAGAAAACTAGTTAGACTAATTAGAATCATGACAAAATAAATATTTTAACAGGCTTCCAGTTAAAGCTTCTGGTGTGGATACACATGGCTACTTTCTCTCCTACCAGAATTCATTTATACAATATTACCGAGACTTCTTTATTTTCCAAGCATAAACCAGCCATCACAGCTCCTACTGTGTCAAAATACCTGATGGGGAGTGAATTCATGACAAGTTCATAGAAACTAGACAACTACCCCGACAAACCAGGCGAGTCCTTGAGTCGGACTGGGAGGGAACTGGACACGAAACAGAAACCAATCAGCTCTCTGCACCAGTCACCTGTGGATAATGTTCATCTAGCGATAAGTGCAAACACTGGATTTGGATCTAACCAAAAGTGCAGCATAACTACATTAAGATGATGGGAGGTGGGAAGGCTGCATCTGGGTTGGAGACACAGGAAGAGGGGTAAAGGGGTAAAGAATAAAGAGCTAAATCTTTTCCCATAGTGCACAGTTAATGGATAATGCCTGATGCTGGAAAATTCTTGTTGTTAGCTCTAAGGGATAAGTATCTAGATAACTGAAAGAGATGGGGGAAGGATAAAACAATTTTCTTTTTCATAATAAATCTTAGAAAGATATTTAACTCTTCCTTTCTGTGTATGTTTAACATTAATAAAATTATTTTAAAAGTATGGCCATAGGGCTTCCCTGGTGGCGCAGTGGTTGAGAGTCCACCTGCCGATGCAGGGGGCACAGGATCGTGCCCCGGTCCAGGAAGATCCCACATGCCGCAAAGCGGCTGGGCCTGTGAGCCATGGCCGCTGAGCCTGCATATCTGGAGCCTGTGCTCTGCAATGGGAGAGGCCACAACAGTGAGAGGCCCGCGTGCCGCAAAAAAGAAAAAAAAAAAAGTATGACCATAATTGAATGTATTATATGTTGTGGGTTTTCCCTCTAATGAAACATCTAGTGCTATGTTCAAGGTCAAACCTTGTGCCCCTTAGATTTGGTCGTGTTTCTGAAGGCATAATGTTTAAAATTCTTGCCAGATTAAGAGACCCAAATTTATAGTCCTAAAGTCCACCGCCCAAAAATGGCATGTCCCACTTGCCAGGGTCCTCCCCGCTGTGCTTACAATGGAGGTATCTGGTACTGGGGAAGGGAGGTGAGACTGAAAAATGCCAACAATGTATTAACTAGGGAAATCTTGTGAAAATTTCTTATAGACCAAAAGTTATCATGTATCGTGTTATCAACTGGAAAGCTACCATTCTAACACTTTGAATCTGTGATCCAGAGCTTAAAATATAAATCTTAGACTGAACATAATGAGGTCCAAAAATCAAATTCTGGTTCCCTCATTTTAACTATTATCTTAAAAAAAAAAAAAAAGCTAAAGTTAACGTCAGAATATTCAGCATTTTGGGTCACTTATCAATGAAAGGGAGATGATTTGGGGGGAATCACCATTTTTATTCACACACAATTACATTTATTATCTCATTCTCATTGTTGATGTAGAAACTGTACAGATTCCTTTGCAGTTAACTTGAACACCGAACATTCTCTTCAATGCCTAATTTGACAAAAAAGTGTGCTTTTAACTTTGCAGAGTAGCTGGTGGGTGTCAGGACCTGAAGTTTTAGAGAGCCCTCTCCTTCACTTAAGGAAGGATGCCCCTGGCTCTATTTCTGCAGTATGATAAGCATACTTCATGTGTTTTCTCCTCCAGGAGTACCAGCCTTGTAATACCAACCCATGCCCTGAGCTGAAAAAGACCACACCTTGGACGCCCTGGACACCTGTCAACATCTCTGACAATGGGGGCCACTACGAGCAGCGATTTCGGTACACATGCAAGGCCCGCCTGCCTGATCCAAACTTGCTGGAAGTGGGAAGGCAGAGAATTGAGATGCGGTACTGTTCTAGTGATGGAACCAGCAGCTGCTCCACCGACGGTGAGTAAGTGACTCTGTAGGGACTGACTCGCTTCCAGGGACAGGTGATCTGTCTTATCTCTAAGTTCATAGAAGAGCCCAGTTAAACTAAAATTTAACTGGCTTCCTGTATTTTATTTGCTAAATCTGACAACCCTGTCTCCAATTCAGTCACTTATTCCCTTATTTCAGAGCAGGCTGTGAACTTACTTCTTACGACATCAAAGTAAAAAAAGAGAAAATGAATGACATTGTTTCTTTAACTTTATTCTCTTATCCAAACATATATTTTTTAACCCTTCCATTCTCAGATACATATAAAACCAACACTAATATTCATTTTAAATGATATAAACTAAGGAAAAATTTTGATAAACATTTATAAAAGACTTCTTATATTTCCTCCAAAAGTATATTGTGGGCATGGCTTAAAAAATACTTTATCCTTCTTGTGTCTTAATGGCTTCAAGTTCTAACGACTACCCATACGTTTTGGTATTGATGTCTTGAGAATACAAAATTGGACCTGTTTGCCTCTGATCACATGAAATTAGGCTAAATTGTGTGTTCTTTATTGATTAACCACAAACTACTCTCTCATCAGAGAAAAAGGTTTCTAATCTATTTTCTCTGAAGAGCATCTGCCTAGGTTTCTGAGCCAGAATTTTTAAGTAGACAACCAAGAAACTTAACAATGGATAGAACTATTCACACATCTGACTTCTCACATTTCCCCAGAACTTCATGGCGTACTTTGAGAGTTTTTTCTTAAAACTGTGTCACACTGCCTACCTTTGAGAAAATGACTGAATATTTTTTCATAAGTCAGTAAGCATTTCCATCAAAATGAACATGAATTGCACAAGGACAATTTGTTGTAGAATTCCCAATGGAAGTGAGAAAGGTGTATTTTCTTTGTAAGAAATTTCTCAGAACAATAAGTGACCTATTACCCATAAAACCCTATTACTTGTATAAGGACTTTGCTACATTGACAAATTGAGCTCTTAGTTGCACCCCTGTTAATAGCAACTGCAGAGAAAGAAGCTTGAGTTGTAGGAGATTATCATGCAAACTGCAATGTTATTTTTATTTAGTTTTGTGCTCCTGAGGTGTGTAAAAAGTGTTCCACTGATATTTGAGAGTATAGTTGCAACAGCAAAGCACACAGTGCTGCAGAATGAAAGTTAGTTTGGACTCTGGTTACTCTAAGAGTTCCTAACAGAATCGTGCTTTGGCCATTTCCCTTGCAGGCCTTTCTGGTGATTTCCTGCGTGCTGGGAGATACTCTTCCCACACCATCAACGGGGCCTGGTCAGCCTGGACCTCATGGTCACAGTGCAGCCGAGACTGCAGCAGGGGCATTCGCAACCGGAAGCGTGTTTGCAACAACCCGGAGCCCAAGTTTGGGGGCATGCCTTGCGTGGGCCCCTCCCTGGAATACCAGGAATGCAACATCTTGCCCTGCCCAGGTGAGTGGATTGAGTAATCTGGAAAAGACCGAAACATCAAGGGCCGTGGAAGACTTTCTCACTCAGCTTCCCTGGCTTTATGTTTGAGACATAATTTGTGGTAGATAGATAGATAGATATAAATGTAGATGTAGATGTAAATATAAGTATAGACATAGATATTGATGTAGATATATAACAGTTATAAATATAGATACAGATGTAGATAAAGATATAGATAGATATAGTTATAATCTTCCAACTACATTGGTATAAAGACAGATATCACCTAGGCTGGATTATGTTCATCTATTTCTTCTGCTTTAACAGAAACTGAAGCATTCTCAGGAACCACTCTAAGGGATTGTGGCCCCAAGCACTGCACCACTTGAGAAGTGGGCTGGGCTGCCATGGTCCAGAGAGCGGTGTCCTGTCTTTAAACTGGAGGTTGGTCCCTCCCAGACTCTGATGTGCCCAGCGCCCCCCAGAACTGACCTCCCTCCACACCACAGAGTCCTCACCAGAGTGACAGTTATCAGGGGTGGCCCAGCAGGGCCTTGCCAAGCCTGTCCCTGGTGCCCTCAGCTGACAGGGGTCTACATCCTCCTGAGGTCAGTCCTCTAAACACGCAGCATCCTCTCCTGGAGACCCACAGGAGCTGTGTTGTCTGGGTCTTCCCCCTGACCCCTGGCTTTTCATTCCACAGGCTTCCCACAGAAGCGCAGCGTTAATAAAATGACCTTAAGGAGCCCCCTTGCCCCCGCTCAGGGCGTTGTCTGCTAATACAGCCCCGAAGGCTCCTCTGTCACCTTTAATGCTCTAACCATCTGTGCCTTCCTCTTGCCCCGGCTCTGAGTGCAGCTCTGTCACCTGGATCGCTTCCACCTGACCTTCCCACAGTCAGAGGATCTTTAATTTAACCCGATGCCTCATGGCCATCCTGAGTGCTGACCTCTGGCTGTGCATCCTGCCTTTTGACTTTGTCAGAGTGACCACCCAAGGAGGGCAGGACCATCTCACTCACGGCAGTGCCCTCAGCTCCCAGCGTGGGCCTGGCACACACTCGAAATAGCTCTCAGTGATGGTTATTGAATGATGAGAAAATAAGCAGTTGGTTACTTGATCTTCCTTTCTTTATTCATTCAGTTTTTCAGCAAACAATTTTGGATCACCCGCTGTGTGCTATTCACTGAGTAAAGAAAGACACAGTGACCTGGTCCAGGTCAGAAAGGAACTTAAGAGTTCAGTGAGGAAGCATCCTGTGAATAATGTCAACCCAGTATGGTTGGGTTGATGACAAGATGCAATGGCTACATCAGCTGGGGACCCATGGAGCTGGAATCATGGCAGCTATATCAAGCAGGCTGCCCCTGGACTGGGCCTTGAGGGACAGATGGGAGTTGGTCATATAGACAAGCAGGGGTGGGGCATGAGGGGTCATTCCAAATACTGTGTACATTGGTTTTAAAGGCACGCACCACTGCAAATATAGCATCTTTTTCAGTTGGTACAAACAACTTTCTGAGTTCCTTAAGCAAGGAACTGGCTTGTAGCAGTACTTAGTGAGCATCTATTAGATGGATGGATAGATGGATAGATGGATGGATGGATGGATGGATGGATGATGGATGGACGGAGGAGTGGATGGGTGGATGGGTAATGGATGGATGAGTGGATGATGGAGGGATGGATAGGTGGATGGATGATGGGTGGATGGAGGAGTGGATGCATGGATGGATGGATGGATGAATCAACACGCACATTAAGCTGAAAAACACAGCTCCCAGCTTTGTAGCTGGGCCACTCAGTAATGTCCTTGCTTCTCCAGTCCTCCTCCGCTGTCTCTGCCTGAGTTTCTCCAGCCTCAGGAGATGCTTCCCTCCAAACTACCCAGCTTTCCTGGCCAAGCGATGCTGAGGGGCTGGGAAAGGTCACAGAGACATGTCTTTCCCACAGCCCCAGCCTGGAGAATGGAAGGGCTCCTCCCCGGGGGCTGAGGGGATCCCTGGGGCAACATGATTAGATGAGGATCCATCCTGTAAAGTGGGGGAGGGAAAGCCACATGGGAAAGTCAGGATCCCTCCAGCCACTCCGCCTCCCCAGGCTCCAGGCGCAGGTCCATGCTGCTGTTGGCTGAATGTACAGACTCCTCCAGATGCTCGGATGCTGCCCTGGCCTTCGAGTGCAAGGTGCGGGCCCGTGTCCGAGACTTCCCATTAACATGATCTAGTGGCTGTTTTTATTTTCGTTGATTTGATGGTCAAGGCAGTATCAGGTACACGTAACCTTAATGTCTTGAAATAGCTCTGTCCTCATCTTCTTTTTGAAAGCCAAGTTTCCATAGAGGGATGTGAAAATATTCAGAGTGGCCCTTCTCACTTTCCACTTGGGAATGCATGAGTTCAGGGGGTTGAGTGGGGCAAATGTCAATTCTCTCTCCCACCTGCTAGAAAATTCCTAACACAGGCCAGGATGCAACTCAACACGGAGGGGTTGGAAGACTCAGGGCTCTTATAGGCTATTTTTACTTCATTTAGGACTCTTTCCTCCCTATGCATTTACTCCTCCTTTGTCCTCTTGGGTCCACAAGAAACAGTTACAAAGGGGTGGTATATTTTCTTTAAAAACAAGTTTTCTCATTATGATTAAGTTTGAAAATTAATCGAAGACCTGAGAAATATAAAACTACCTCTTAAATTAATCAATGAAAAATTCGATCTCCAATTCTAATGTGGATCAAAACTTGCAGTAAGGTTTGAAAGTTGAGCCCATGTTGAAATGATCCTTTTTCTTCTGTGGTTTGCTCTAACTAGTACTTTCACTGACATAATTTATTCCCAACATTGAGAAATAGCTTGGTCTTTCTCCATCACTCCTTTTTCTCAATTCGTGTTTGATTCAGAACTGATTCCAGACCTCAGCTGACAAAGGACAGCAGATGGTTCTTTGTTCCTAAGTCATATTCCAAGTCAGTAAGATAATTTATTTCTTCTTTATTATGAAAACAGTAAGTGCAAGGAAGAAGGAACAGTAAGTGAGAATCTCATGGAGGGGAGACCTTTTGAATCAAAGTGAATTTGGACAGGTGTGTGTTCTGTGGATGACATCAGTTAAGTACCTATGGTGTGCTAAGAACACTCCTCACCTCTCTGTCCATGAAATCTTTGAGTCCACAGTTTGTTCTGTAAACTGCAAGTGACACAAAAGGAGGATAAGACACTGGTTCTGTCCTGGGCGGGTGACATAGGTAGCGCTAGCTGGGGCTTCACCTGAACAACTACAGAGCATTGTTCTGTAGTTCATGGTCTTTCCCAGAGACTGGGTTTTGTACTGCAGATGTACACGCACTCCTTGGTCATCCTCGTGCTTGCATTTTACATGCTTAGAACTATTTCCTGAAAGAATAGGAGGAACTGAAGAAGCGTAGAGAGGAATGTGAAAAGCCAGGTGGAAGATCCTGAGTCCCCTCCTGTGATGGTCAGTGGTGCGCACAACGCATTCGCACAGTGCAGACTCTCTCTGTAGCCACATTGCATGGGTCAGATGTGGATTTCAGAAGCGGTGTGACTTTGTGTCCCTTCCCAGTGGATGGCGTGTGGTCTTGCTGGTCCTCCTGGTCAAAGTGCTCAGCGACATGTGGAGGTGGACATTATATGAGGACCCGCTCGTGCACAAATCCAGCCCCCGCCTATGGAGGCGACATCTGCCTGGGCCTGCACACGGAAGAGGCTCTCTGCAACACGCAGCCCTGCCCCGGTAAGCAACCCGGCCAGGCCCGTGCAGACAGCAGGGCAGACTCACCCTTCTCCTGATATACAAATGGTGAAATGATGAAACCACATCACGCTAAGACCAAAAGAGGGGAACACGTCAATGCCACACTATTGCCGGTGATGTGACCTCGTAATACATTGTTCTGCAGTGGAATCATTCTCACCATGCTGTAGTTGCGGAACTGGTTACAGAAACCAGTGATAACCAAGTATTCTTAAAATATTTAAGCTGGTAATGGGAGCTGACATTTAGTTGCTTAGAATCAAGGTGGGGAAGCAGGAGAGCCCTTGTGAAGTGGCTTCACAGGAATCCCCCCAGGACCGTGGGCATGGGGGTTCCGGGCTCCGAGGCCAGCTGGCCCATGTGCCCAGTGGATGCCCTGCAGCAGCCCACCCCATCCAAGAATTAGCTTTGTTTTCTGCCATGTAGGGACCACTTGCAATGAAAATGAGACAATCTCTTCTGAGTCTAACTTCGACTTTGAAAAACACACACACACACACACACACACGTTTTTAACTAGCTCCTGCAGACTTTCCTTGAAGGTTCCATGTATACTGAAAAGTGCCTAGAAACCAGATTCTCAGTCATCCCCAAAACTGGCACTTTACACATTTCTAAGGAAAATTATACCCTTTACAATGGATCAAAACACAAGTTTGGTTGCCAAATTTAATTTAAAAAGAGGAAAAAACCAAGCTGCATAGAAAAACATTATTTTACATTATTAATATTTCATAAATAATATTGAGAGTTCATTTTTTTTAACCTCCTTACATAAAATGAGTATTAATTCTCTCTTTTCACACATCTGTAGGTCCGGTGAATTTAACACATCTTAGCGAATCTACCTTTTTGGGGTAAAGTGACTTTAGCTAGTTCATCTTTTGGCCTTGATGACTTGTGTGTGGATGTGCTTCAGTGGCAGTAAACAAGGGATAGAGTGAATTCTACCATGAGTACAGCCTGCCTTTGGTGTACTGGCCCTGCAAAGTTGTTTTCACAACTGGAAAGAAAGTATTTGTAGTAGCTTGAACCCCTTTCACAACCAGGACTTTCTCATTAACACACTGTCATTTCTCTTGCTTGAGCACTGAGGCCTGTAGAAATTTTCTGGAGAAGGATTTGAGTATGACCCCGTAGGAATGGGGTCTGCATTGATGATCTCTTCTCCGCCAAGGAAGGGTCATGCACAGCCAGGCTTCATGCATTAGCTTATGGAGTGTCTAATACAGTTAATTTAGAGCATTAAAGTAATGTGAGTTTTAGAAAATGTATTTTAAGCACATTATTTCTAATCAAAGGTATATGAGTTCTTTTATTCTTGCTCCTTTGTATTTTATTTACTGGACTGGTCATAAGATACGAGTCCATCTTATTTATACACAGACCCACTATAAACATCATATGAAACGTTATGTACATAAGCTGACCCAACTTCCAGGTTGATGGATCTTAGTGGGTCTTGTTGCCGCATCTCTTGTCTTCTGGCCCCTGCAGAGAGCTGGTCGGAGTGGTCAGAATGGTCTGAGTGTGATGTGTCTGGGGTCCAGGTCCGCATCCGCCAGTGCATTCTTCTGTTCCCCGTGGGCAGCCAGTGTTCCGGAAACACCACGGAGAGCCGGCCCTGTGTTTTTGATTCCAATTTCCTCCCAGGTAAGAGGGGAGATGCTTATTAGTGCGAACAAAATCATTTCCAATATTTTGAGAGGCAATGATTCCTAGGTGGGAGTTTTATCTGTTCTATCAGGTCCTGTTTGCTAAAACAGAGATGATTCAATCAACTCTTGTGGTTTCAAGGTGATTATAGATTTGTAGGTAACTGCGTCTGTAGACTTGAATTTAGGCCATGAGTTTTAAGGTTTTTTTAAGCACAATGTCTTCTACAATTTATTGCCTATAACACGGTCAGAATAGTTTGTTCAAAAAATGAAAATAGGTTATTTGGTTACTTTAATATTAAGTTAAATGCTTTGGCAAGGTTGTGCGTATGTGTTTGCACAGAGAAAAGAGGGCCATTCTCTTCATACAACCTTAGTTTATTTGGGAAAAAGGGAGGCTGTCCTTGCTCTCGTCTTGGAGAAGAGGTTGGCTTGGCCCTTTGGCTACAGGCTTTTCCATGTGAAATCGATGTTTAGTTATTAGTGATAGCTAGTCACCCATCATATGCTCACTGTAGGCACGGGCCTACATATATGCCCACCATGTGCCTTAGCACTCTGATGTGGGCCAAAAGCAGAGACTAACCTCTTACAAGGTAATAACAGGGAATGCCTTGTTTTCCTTCACTAAAGGAAAGATATTATTTTAGAAAAAGCTATCAGCTTCAGCCTCAAAAGGCACCTCAACCTTCTGTGGTCTAGAACTGCAAGAGTGTTTATTGTTGTTTCCTTTTCAACCATAGACGTATTTTTAATTCTCGTTAACGAATGAGAAATCAATACAGGAGAGAATAGTGTTTCTGGACTCTTGAAATGGTGTTTATCCTTGGGCTTAAACATTTAGGTGGATCTCTCCTTTTGCTGGCATCCTACTTGTCAGTTTCACATGGGCCATGGCAAAGATCATGAATGGGCTCCGAGTAGGAAGGTTATTTGTTTTGGCAATTTCCTCTGAGCTCTGGTGGAGTGGTCCCCCTCCCCAGGCAATGTGACAACACTGACTTTGATGAGACAAAAAATCTGAGGCAGAAATACTACAGACAAACACTGTGGGGTTCCACAGCTGGCAGAATACATTGTAACAGAAAATCAGCCCATATGCCAGCCTTACTTTGAAACTAGTGCCCTGGTTTCAACCCAAGGGACCATAGCATTTTCTTTTTGTAATAATGAATCTCACCCCTTTCCAATCAAGGTGACCTTGACCAAATACATCTCCGGTTGGTTAAGAAAAAAAAAAGAAAGAAATATGTTTTTAAAAACAATTAATCAGGCTTTTGGAAACTGACTCACATAAAACTCAAAATCATTAGACATTTCATAAATGAATCATTAATGTGATCTTCCTTCCCTACACCCTTTATACATTGTGATTAAACTTTGTTTGTCCAGAAGTATCTGTGGCAAGATCCAGCAGCGTAGAAGAGAAAAGGTGTGGAGGTAAGTTCTTTTTCTTAATTAATTTCAGGTATTTTCCAGTCATTTCTCTTGCCATATGTTTCATATGATGTTTCAGCTACTGGCCAAGAAAAAAATAAAATAAAACTGGAGAAACTCCTGAATCCAAACACCTTATATTTTGGCAATAGAAATGCTAAGGAATCCATATTTGACATCTGGATCAGTGGTTCTCAGGGGGTCCTTAGACCAGCATCATCAGTATCACCTGGGTACTTGATAGAAATGCAGATTTTCAGGCTGCACCACCATCTACAGAGTCAGAACCTCCCTGAGAGGGGCCCAGCACTCTGGCTTAATAAGCCCTTCAGGTGAGTCTAGTGGACATAAGTTTTATGGCCCAGTGATCTGGGTATTAGCTACAGTTAGATTTCCTATGAGTAAAACAGAATTCAACCATTTTCTTTATATGTATAGTGCAAATCCATAGAAACCAGCCTCAAATCTCCAAACTGCTGAAATGATAAAATGTCAGAATTTTATTATGGGCAAAAAGCTATACCTATATCTCCAGAGATGTTTTTCTAACTTCCTGCAACCCTGAATGACAGAAATCACATTCTCTGGGTCAAATCCATAATGCTTTTGGACTTTCCCATCTAGTTCTATCCTGTTTGGATGGGAGGGACTGGCTGTCCATTGATCAGAGCCCAGCCCTGGTCCACCTTTGGTGTCAGAGCCAAAAACCACACACAAGACCAGCATCTTCATGTGTGTAGCTGATGACTATTCCTAACCATTTCTAACATAATCCATTCCAGCGGGAGGCCCCAGGCAGCTCAACCCAACGGGCTTTGGTCTCTCACACTCAGAAGGAATCTGGATTTTCATCGGTGTGTTTTAGGAATGTACCTAGTTATTAACTACACTGGTTAAGAATCTGCTATCTGTGACGCTCTATCTGTTTAGTCAGCCATCTGTTAATCCATTTGTTCAATCATCTTTCCTGAGCACCCGCTCTGGGTCAGTTTTGTGAGGGGTGTTGAGCTTACAGTGGGGACTCAAACAGCCCCAGCCCCTCTGGAACCAAAAGTCATATCCCAAGAGAGCCCTGTGCCTGAGAAGGGCAGTGTCTGGTGTCTGACTGGGTCAGTTCAGTGAGCCACTACTTGGGGATCCGGCTGCAAGATGAATGTTGGCTGGTTCACATAAGAAGAACTATAGCTGTAGTATTTTTAGGTCAGCAGTCACTGTGTGCCAGACACCGTAGAGGTATCCTATTTCATCCTCACAAAGAGCATTCGCGTGGGTGCCACAGCCCACTGTTCTTTACGTAAAACCCTTGGAGCTAGAGCAGGGTTTGGAAGTCAGCATTCTTCAGGTTATAGATGGGTAATACGGGTCATACAACGTATGACACCGCGAGGTCTGGGGGGTCGCACTCCGTAACCAACCTCTTTAATGACGTTGCTGTGAAATGTAGGTGAAGTGAAGCTGCCAATCATCCCGGTTCTGAAGCAAATGATCAGGTCAGGTCAGGCTTCACTGCCAGGTGAGTGATGAAAAATCAGTTTTCAGAGACATTTTTGTTTGGGGAATTGTAGGAAAGGGATAGCAGCCACGTCTTTTTATCTGTATTTTATAAATAGGGATCATGAGGGTCAGAGAGATGAGGTTCACACAAACAGTCTAAGTGAAGCCAGCTTTGGACCTGGGCAATGGGATCCCAGCGTGAGCTTTAAGCCCGGAGCACCACGGGAAAAGGGGCCTGGTGATGAGTGCCCCAGAGGAGGGTATCTGGGGTATGCAGCCACAGCAGCCCCGGCCAGGCGACACTCTTGGACAACAGCTGGGGTCACCACTGGAGCAGAGCTTGTAGAGAGTGTTCCTGCCCTGAGGGAGGTCAAGGCAGAACCTGGGGGCAGTCAGCATGCCCTCCAGGCCTAACACAAGTTCAAAAACCACTTTCCTCGGCCAGCCTTCTCAGGGTTCAGATACGGGAGTGCTGCCAAGGCCTTGAGCACCCGGGAGGACAGGATGCCGTAGGCTCACTTGCATCCTAAAATGCAGCTTCTGCGTGTTTGAACCAGCTGTACCAAAGCCTGCACCAAATCAAGCCTTGAGGTGCTATTGATTCAATCACAGAAACTTTAATTAATCTATAATATTCAGAACCAATCGTTTAGATCTTAGGCTGCTGACATTGACACAGCAGAGTAGGTGGGTAAGAGGTCAGATGGGGCTGAGAGGTAAAAACAATCACCTAGCAAGGATGTTTGGGGATGCTTTTTTCAGTTTGTTGAGAAGAATCAAACTTTGCACAGAAAATCAGCCATTTGAATCGACTGGGTAGTTGGTTTCTATTCTAGCTTTACTGACCAAAATCAACAGCAAAAAGCATTGTATTCAAAGCAAAGAGTCACGCTAAGCAGATTCAAGAGATTTAATAGGCTTGATTTTTCACTTATGCAGAAAAAATGTAGGCCTATTGAAATGTTCCAACTTAGCTATTTTTAGTTGCATGAGACACAGAGACTGTATAATCATCATAAAGATGTCAGCTGGCCCCAGCCTTCCCCAGGCACCTGCAGGAATGATTCATTTGACTAATAACAAAGTACCTGCATAGGGAGAGAGCCATACATCTTCTATATATAATTTTATCAGGGCAGCAGAAGTACTTTTATCCATATGCTGCATTGACCCTGGGGGGTCCAAACGGCTAAAGTATAGAGAGATGACAACAGGTATGAAATCACTCTTGCTTATCTTGAGGGCAACTTCAGGGTTAGAGTAGAAGCTTCTAGCAGTTGCTGGTAGAATGGCCCCTGGATGCTTTATCCAGCTGTCCCAGGTTCAGCCCTAGAGTCTTCAGACAAAATCAGGAACAGCCAAAGATTTAGCGATTCCTTTCACTTTGTTAAACCAGTGACAGGATAATCAAGAAGTGAAACATTGAGGTGGATGTCAGGGAGTGGGTGATATCTGTGGAATGTTCTAGTAACGTCCTCCTGGATTATCCAGCTCCAGGTGCTGAAGACACCTGAGGCACGTGTTAGGAGTCACCTGTTTGGAGTCTCAGCATGGGTGGAGTACGTTCGTTCCGGTTCACAGAGAACAGAGGACGAGGCTGCCTCTCCACGCGATGTTCATCCACCTCCTGGAGCGAATCTACCTCCCAGGGCCCAGGGCCCCAAAAAACAGTGTCCAGGAACAGCAAAGGGGCACAGCTTAAAGGGAGAAGCTTAGAGGGTTTAGGGACGGATGAAGGATGTTCGACCTGTGCTGTGGATCCCAGGTGAGGCGAGGACAGCTCAGAGAGTCCTCGGGAGGATCCCAGGTGTTTAAGGAGAAAACATCCCATAACCTGGGTGTAGTAGACAAACTCACGGGTCTTCTCTCCCCGAGAGCCCTGGGGACCTCCCCACGTGGCCCAGCAGTCTCACCCGGCATCCACAGGGGTGCCCAGCAGGCATCTTCAGTGGTCCCATTTGGGTGCAGGGAGAGCAAGGGTGTCACTCAGCCCTCTGGTGGTGCATGGAGGGGACACCTTGGAAGAAAAGCCGGATCCCCATGATGTGCAGTGGAGACATATGGCCAAGAACCCTTAGGCAACTGGTTAGCTATACGGTGCCAACACAGCATAGAAAAATTGAGGTCCTGTTTTGTTTTACCTGATTTTCAGTAATCTCAGCTTCATGGTCATGGCTCAGATGTTGTCTTTATTCCCTGAAAGGCTTAAAATTTTGATTGTAAGGTGTTTTACCAACACACAATGAATATCTTTTTTTCTTTTGTTGCTCTTTGTCAGAGATTAAGCAGTTCTTGGTTAAGCTACCTTGATGTCACTCAAACCAATCCTGTCTTAGAGACATGAGTCCATGTCAGCTCGTTTATTCAACATTGTGTATTTATAACTCAAAGAAAATTACTTAAAGATGCTATTAGATAGAAAAAACACTTTAAAAAAAGAGGGTCATTTCATGACCATTAATAGATCATATTCCTTTGACACAAATCCTTTGTTTCTTTGGAGTAAGCCATTTTCTTTAAAAGGTCTCCAAAATACAATGTGAGTGAAAAAATGGTACCCAGGATAATGTTTACAACACGCACACATAGCATGCAAGTGCGCAGAGTGTCTCTGGAAGAGCACAGGAGAAGGTGGTGACAGTGGTTTCCTCTCAGAAAGAAAAAAAGATTTATTCTTGTATATCCTTTTGCACTTTTATTTTCATGCAATCAAATGTTATACAATATGTATATCTTCATATTCCAAAAAATGTAATGGAAAACATAAGAACGATATAATCGGAACACATTTTTAAATAAAATGAAATGATAAAGGAGGGGGAAATAGTCGGGCTTGCAGGTGAGCAGTGATTGGAAGTACTAGATACATCCTTGCTTTGTTCCCAGGACACAGCCAGGCTGCAAGCAGGGACTCAGCCTGTTCAGGAAAACAGAAAACATGTTCACTAGAAACCCCCCAGACCACAGATCATGCTGCACTTGAAACAGAAGAACGGTCTCTTACAAACCTTTAAAGAAAAAAGTGTCTCTGCTAGCGTATTTGGTGATCTTTAAAAGATCACCATATTATACGGTGGTTATAATCCATAAGAGCGTTGACTTAAACTACACTGAGCTCTCTGCAGAGAAGTGTCTTGGCGGCCACGACATTTCAAAGGAAGGCCCTATGATTTCCTGAGTTTTAGAAGGAGTGTGGAGCTTTCCATGGCGTCCTTCTCTTTTCCTCTGAGCCCACTGAGCTGGGGAGGAGCGCGTCCTTTTCCAGGGTGGCCTCACTTTTGACGTTGTCTTCCCAGAGTTCAACTTGTTCCACATGATCGCCGTGGGGCTCAGCAGCTCCATCCTGGGCTGCCTTCTTACGCTGCTTGTCTACACCTACTGCCAGCGGTACCAGCAGCAGTCCCACGATGCCACCGTCATCCACCCTGTTGCGCCCGCCCCTCTCAACACCAGCATAACTAACCACATCAACAAACTGGACAAGTATGACTCGGTGGAGGCCATCAAGGTAAGGGATCAGCAGCCTCCACTGCAGCCAGGTGTGCAGAGAAGGCAGGTGGACCCTGATGGCAAAGCTCAGTGGTGGTGGCATAGGTGACAGGGTGGGGGACAAGGTAAGTGGCTCCTCTTATTTTTTTTTATTTTTATTTTATATTGAAGCATAGCTGATTAACAACATTGTGTTAGTTTCAGGTGTACAGCAAAGTGATTACATGTATCTACTCTTCAAATTCTTTGGATGACCTGCCTTATTTATTTATTTATTTATTTTTAACATCTTTATTGGGGTATAATTGTATATATGTATACATATATCCCCATATCTCCTCCCTCTTGCATCTCCCTCCCACCCTCCTTATTTCCCCCCTCTAGGTGGTCACAAAGCACCGAGCTGATCTCCCTGTGCTATGTGGCTGCTTCCCACTAGCTATCTATTTTACATTTGGTAGTGTATATATGTCCATGCCACTCTCTCACTTTGTCACAGCTTACCCTTCCCCCTCCCCATGTCCTCAAGTCCATTATCTACATCTGCGTCTTTATTCGTGTCCTACTGCTAGGTTCTTCAGAACCTTTTTTTTTTTTTAGATTCCATATATATGTTAGCATATGGTACTTGTTTTGCTCTTTGTGACTTACTTCACTCTGTATGACAGTCTCTAGGTCCATCCACCTCACAACAAATAACTCAGTTTTGTTTCTTTTTATGGCTGAGTAATATTCCATTGTATATATGTGCCACATCTTCTTTATCCATTCATCTGTCGATGGACACATAGGTTGCTTCCATGTCCTGGCTATTGTATATAGAGCTGCAATGAACATTGTGGTACATGACTCTTTTTTTTTTTTTTTTTTTTGTGGTACGCGGGCCTCTCACTGTTGTGGCCTCTCCCGTTGTGGAGCACAGGCTCCGGATGCGCAGGCTCAGCGGCCATGGCTCACAGGCCCAGCCGCTCCGCGGCATGTGGGATCTTCCCGGACTGGGGCATGAACCCATGTCCCCTGCATCGGCAGGCGGACTCTCAACCACTGCACCACCAGGGAAGCCCCCTACATGACTCTTTTTGAATTATGTTTTTCTCAGGGTATATGCCCAGTACTGGGGTTGCTGAGTCACATGGTAGTTCTATTTTTAGTCTTTTAAGGACCCTCCATACTGTTCTCCATAGTGGCTGCATCAATTTACATTCCCACCAACAGTGCAAGAGGGCTCCCTTTACTTCATACCCTCTCCAGCATTTATTGTTTGTAGATTTTTTGATGATGGCCATTCTGACTCGTGTGAGGTGATACCTCAATGTAGCTTTGATTTGCATTTCTCTAATGTTTAGTGATGTTGAGCATCCTATCATGTGTTTGTTGGCAATCTGTATATCTTCTCTGGAGAAATGTTTATTTAGGTTTTCTGCCCATTTTGGGATTGTTGTTTGGTTTTTGGATATGGAGCTGCATGAGCTGCTTGCATATTTTGGAGATTAATCCTTTGTCAGTTGCTTCATTTGCAAATATTTTCTCCCATTCTGAGGGTTGTCTTTTCATCTTGTTTATGTTTTCCTTTGCCGTGTAAAAGCTTTTACGTTTCATTAGGTCCCATTTGTTTATTTTTATTTCCATTTCTCTAGGAGGTGGGTCAAAAAGGATCTTGCTGTGATTTATGTCATAGAGTGTCCTCCCTATGTTTTCCCCCTAAGAGTTTTATAGTGTCTGGCCTTACATTTAGGTCTTTAATCCATTTTGAGTTTATTTTTTTGTATGGTGTTAGGGAGTGTTCTAATTTCATTCTTTTACATGTAGCTGCCCAGTTTTCCCAGCATCACTTATTGAAGAGGCTGTCTTTTCTCCATTGTATATTCTTGCTACCTTCATCAAAGATAAGGTGACCATATGTGCGTGAGTTTATCTCCGGGCTTTCTATCCTGTTCCATTGATCTATATTTCTGATTTTGTGCCAGTACCATACTGTCTTGATTACTGTAGCTTTGTAGTATAGTCTGAAGTAAGGGAGTCTGTTTCCTCCAGGTCTGTTTTTCTTTCTCAAGATTGCTTTAACTGTTTGGGTTCTTTTGTATTTCCATACAAATTGTGAAATTTTTGGTATAGTTCTGTGAAAAATGCCATTGGTAGTTTGAAAGGGATTATATTGAATCTGTAGATTGCTTTGGGTAGTATAGTCATTTTCACAATGTTGATTCTTCCAATCTAAAAACATGGTATAACTTTCCATCTGTTTGTATCATCTTTAATTTCTTTCATCAGTGTCTTACAGGCCTTGTTTTTGTATCCATTCAGCCAGTCTATGTCTTTTGGTTGGAGCATTTAATCCATTTACATTTAAGGTAGTTATCGATATGTATGTTCCTATTACCATTTTCTTAATTGTTTTGGGTTTGCTTTTGTAGGTCTTTTCCTTCTCCTGTGTTTCCTGCCTAGAGAAGTTCCTTTAGCATTTGTTGTAAAGCTGGCTTGGTGGTGCTGAATTCTCTTAGCTTTTGCTTGTCTGTAAAGATTTTAATTTCTCGTTGAATCTGAATGAGATCCTTGCTGGGTAGAGTAATCTTGGTTGTAGGTTTTTCCCTTTCATCACTTTAAATATGTCCTGCCATTCCCTTCTGGCTTGCAGAGTTTCTGCTGAAAGATCAGCTGTTAACCTTATGGGGATTCCCTTGTATGTTACTTGTTACTTTTCCCTTGCTGCTTTTTAATATTTTTTCTTTGTATTTAATTTTGATATTTTGATTAATATGTGTCTTGGCGTGTTTCTCCTTGGATTTAGCCTGTATGGGACTCTCTGTGCTTCCTGGACTTGATTGACTATTTCCTTTCTCATATTAGGGAAGTTTTCAACTATAATCTCTTCAAATATTTTCTCAGTCCCTTTATTTTTCTCTTCTTCTTCTGGGACCCCTATAATTCGAATGTTGGTGCATTTAATGTTTTCCCAGAGGTCTCTGAGACTGTCCTCAATTCTTTTCATTCTTTTTTCTTTATTCTGCTCTGTGGGAGTTATTTACACTAGTTTATCTTCCAGGTCACTTATCTGTTCTTCTGCCTCAGTTATTCTGCTATTGATTCCTTCTAGAGAATTTTTAATTTCATTTATTGTGCTGTTCATTATTGTTTGTTTGCTTTTTAGTTCTTCTAGGTCCTTGTTAAATGTTTCTTCTATATTCTCCATTTTATTTCCAAGATTTTGGATCATGTTTACTATCATTACTCTGAATTCTTTTTTCAGGTAGACTGCCTATTTCCTCTTCATTTGTTTGGTCTGGTGGGTTTTTACCTTGCTCCTTCATCTGCTGTGTGTTTCTCTGTCTTCTCATTTTACTTAACCTACTGTGTTTGGGGTCTCCTTTTCACAGGCTGCAGGTTCATAGTTCCAATTGTTTTTTGTGTGTGCTCCCAGTGGGTGAGGTTGGTTCAGTGGCTTGTGTAGGCTTCCTGATCAAGGGGACTGGTGCCTGTGTTCTGGTGGATGAGGCTGGATCTTGGCTTTCTGGTGGGCAGGACCGCATCCGGTGGTGTGTTTTGGGGTGTCTGTGAACTTATTCTGACTTTAGGTAGCTCCTCTGCTAATGGGTGGTGTTGTGTTCCTGTCTTGGTAGTTGTTTGGCATAAGGTGTCCAGCACTATAGCTTGCTGGTCGTTGAGTGGAGCTGGGTCTTAACGTTGAGATGAAGATCTCTGGGAGAGCTTTCACCAATTGATATTACGTGGGGCCAGGAGGTCTCTGGTGGTCTAGTGTCCTGAAATTGGCTCTCCCACCTCCGAGGCTCAGGCCTGACACCCGGCCGGAGCACCAGGACCCTGTCAGCCACATGGCAGACATCTCAACAGCTACAAAGGGAGCAAGCAAGCATTTTCTGACATGCCTTTTAAGCTTCGCTGTTCCTGTGAAAAGGTGGCTTCTCATATTGGGAATTAGGTTAAAAATGGGACATGGAAATGGCAACAAATAAAATGCTGGAAGCTATCGAGTGATTGGTCACCATCCAGATCTGCCTCCACTGTGCCTCAGCACCCAAAGAGCAGTCCCACCAAAGAGAAGAGCTCCGTGCTGAGGACCTGCACATGCTGAGCAGTGAAATGAGGATGGGGTTTGGTCAATCAGATATACAGGTCCATGTACAGGTCCATTACAGGAATCCCCAGGATGGCATCCTGAGAACAATTGTTACATTGTTATAAAGACTATCTTCTAATAACTTTGAAGCATAATGACGTTTCTTCAATTCTGTGTAATGTTGATGCTGGTGCAATTGGTGGGGGGAGGTGATGCATTGTGTTAAATTTCCTGAGTGGGTGATTAATAACCCAGTGTTTCACCCAGAAATTTAGAGTGAATGACCAGTCTCCTTCTTGTTCTAAGGAAGAAAAGGTGGAAAATGGGTGAGCCTGACAGATCTAGGTTTATGAGTCACTTACCAGCCAGGTAGACTTCTCCCAGGTATTCATACTAACTGAGCCTCCATTTTTTTTCTTGGTGAATTGGAGATAATGAGAATAAAGTGAGGTAAATTATACACAATGCCTTGAACACTGCCTGGCAAAATAAAAGTGGTTTTTATTTGAGGCATTTTGCGTCCTGGCTCAGAGTACAAGTTACTTACTTCTTTGAACCTCAGTTTCTCCATCTTTAAAATGGGTTAACACTATGTACTCCTGTATCATTGTTGTGATGTTTAAATGGACTAAGGTACATGAAGCCCAGCATCCAGCAAATAGTGGCTGTTGTTCTTACTGTGTCTACACAAGAGGTCAGGAATGTGGCTGGAAAGACATCACAGGCTCTTGTTACTGCACCCAACCTCCCCTACCACCCACGTGAATGCAGGGAGTTCTCATGAGCTAAGTTACTTTCATTTTTTTTCTTGTTTTTTTTTTCTCTTTTGTCCTTCCATTGCAGTATAGTTGATTTACAATACTGTGCTCGTTTCTGGTGTACAGCAAAGTGATTCAGTTATACATACATATTCTTTTCTGACTCTTTTTCATTATAGGTTATTACAAGATACTGAATCTAGTTCCCTGTGCTATACAGTAAATCCTTGCTTTTTATTTTATATATAATGGTGTGTATCTATTAATCCCATACTCCTCATTTATCCCTCCCCCACCTTTCCTCTTTGGTAACTGTAAGTTTGTTTTCTATGTCTGTGAGTCTATTTCTGTTTTGTAAATAAGTTCATTTGTATTGTTTCTTAGATTCCAGATATAAGTGATATCATATGATATTTGTCTTTGTCTGACTTACTTCACTCAGTATGATAATCTCTAGGTCCTTCCATGTTGCTGCAAATGGCAGTATTTCATTAAGTTACCTAAATTTTGATATTCCTGTTAAGTTGGTGGTTCTCCTTAATATTCTTAGGGAGTATTTGATGCCCTCTCTCTGCTATGATGGTTTCCTTTGAAATGCAGCACTGAGGATACAGGGGAACATCAGATATGGAGGAACCACGTATCTGGAGGGAAGACTATAAGTTATACTCTGGTTTTTGACTTCGAGGAGGGTCAGTGCCCCTAACACTTGCATTGTTCAAGGGTCAACTGTAATTGTCTCCTAACTATATTCTCTTTCTGAAATACTACTTACTGAATATTCCTAAATCTTCTATTTCATTTTTTACAGGCATTTAACAAAAACAACTTGATCTTAGAGGAAAGAAACAAATACTTCAACCCACATCTCACTGGGAAGACCTATTCTAATGCCTACTTTACAGATCTCAATAACTATGATGAGTACTAAGAGTTCTTCTATTTTTGGCTTCCTGTAACTGCCCCAGTTCCTCAAGGCCTGTGCTCCATGACTGCCCATGTCTCCAAGACTTCAGAGATGGAGTTTGGGTACATCTCAAGTGCATTTCAAGCCACTAGTGTCCCACTGCTGCCAAAAAGACACATTCTTAAAAGCAACAAAAATCTAATCGTGAAAATCTGGTCTATAATTCTTGATCATTGTTTAATGAGCCATGGTGTGCAGGGTTTTTTTATTGTGTTCAGTCCATTTTTCTAACAAGTCAGTTGTTTTCTTGAGCTTTTTCATAACTGTACCACCCACAATGGAAGGGGTCTTTAGAAATGTGAACATCTTCTTGACCTTGAGTGTAAATCTTCATGATGTCTTAATTCAAGAAATTAGGCACTTTATATGAGAGCCTCCCCACCTCTGCACGGTTTATAGTATTGATAAAATGAAGAATCTGAATGTGGCCATACAATGACTCACCATGGATCTCCATCTTCTCAATCTGGATGATACTGTGTGTGTTTGGACTTGGAATGCTTCTTGCCTGAGGTTACCCAGGGATTCAACCTGGCTTATATCTGCAAAGGTGATGGTATGTGGTGTGAGATGCTCTACCCTTGGTCTTGCTGCCATTACTGTATTGTCCCTGGGGTAGGTGAGTGTAAAGAGCAGAGGTACAGACATGATGAAGGGGGAACATGTTCTACATGCTGTCATGAAGCTCGCCTTATTCTGACTTGTGGATTTCATGGCATTTCAGGGAGCTCCTTGTCGCGCATCGGCCTTGTGGCCCACCTGTCTGGTCCACAGTAACATCCTAAAGAACCACTCTGTAAAATAACCACTTGTTTAGCATTTGGATAACAGACTCTACACCTCCCCTCTCTCTGCAAAGAAAAATCTTGAACATTCATGATACTGATGAAGAAAGTATTGAAAGGACTGAAATATAATTGAAGACAACTTTTTTTTATTTTCCATGTTACAGAAAGTATTGAAAAACCTGACATTTAATGAAAAGCAACTTTTTTATTTTCCGTCTCCCTGATAGAACTAATGTATGGCCATCAGCCCCTACCAAGAGGATTAATGATGTGTAAAGCTGGCTTTGTGCAGCTTGTTGCTGTACATATTGAAGGGCTCCCCAAGTACCAAGCGGTCATTTGCTTCCTCTAGCTCAGGTGAGAAGATGTTCAGCTCTGGTGCCTCTTGTTTTTGATCTCAGTGCTGCTTTGCCATCCATCCACTCCCACTTCTCCCTGCCTGGGGGCAGCAGCCTTTCAAGAAGTACCTTGAGAAGTCAGGGTGTTGGCAAGTAAGGATTTTAATGATTCCATGGTTCTGAGCTTCGATCATTCATAAGCATTTCAGGGTGTTATGATACTATCCAGAGGGGTCCCCAGGAGAAAAAAAAAACAGGGTAGATTACTCGCAAAAAACTGACGCATGACATACGGCAGTTGGTTGAATAATTATTGAAAGTAAGAACAAGATTGAAATTATTCATTTTATGCCTCTGGGTGTCGTGATAAAGGCCTGGGTGGACATAAAGACATGTTCTTACTGATAAATGAAACTTCAGATCTGGGAAAACTTACAGTGTGGGCATTGAGGGACACAGACTTTTAGCCTACATAGGTTGGTTAGGTTTTCACCCTATCCAATTTAAAGATTTGAAAGATCCTATGTTTAGTAATGAATGTTGATGAGTTCAAAATATTCTTATATGCCCAAATTTTCAGAAACGGCTCTACTAAAATTAAAGTCTAAATTGCAGTTGGGCTCTGGGAGGTCTGATAGATTTCAAATGAATGATTTTCCGGGTCTTTCCAGTGGGAAGTTCATGCTACATCTCCCGTATTCCTTGTATGCTGTATGAGATTGCTGTTTCTATGCAAAGTCCACACTTAGGAAGTGAAATTTAGCCAGATAGTTTTCTAATTTTCCTTGGGTTGGATTTTCATTGGATGCTTCAACCTGTCTCATCACTTTCCTATAAGAAAAATGTCCTCATTTGTGTAGCGTATTTTAGCCGTTTTTTTAATTCCTCCCCCGCAATATTTTCAAAGCTTAGAAGTTCATTCTCTTTCCCCTAGGAAAGAGGATACTGATATTTCAAAAAAGTATCACTGGACTTGATGGGAAATGCTTCCCAAATGACATCAAAGTTGGTCTTTAATCAATCTTGTGCAATGACTAGGGAAACCACCCTTCCCTACAACGGAATTTTCATGTTGTTGATTACATAAATCTTTACAATTATCACTGCAAAGAAATTCACTCATTTTTGTTCCCTGACACTCTGTTCAAAAGAAAATTGTTCTCCTCTCTCTCTCATCCTCCTTCCCTCCCTCCATCCCGCCTTCTTACTTAACAGGATATCAGTTTGTTTAGTTTTAGCTATAATCCAAGTATTTTAAGCATCTATGGAATAACTTTTGTTTTCCCATCAGCGTAGAGCTGTTGCTTATGTGTTTATGCTTCCCCTCCGTAGCCCTCATCAAGCCTCCATGTGATGGGCTTTCACATTGGTACCTACCACTTCTACTGGAACCTTCATAAAGCACCTCTTCCTTAGGCTGGGATGGTTGGGATTCCTGCCAACACTTGTCACCTTTTAAATTACTGTGTGATTTCTTCATTCTCTTTATCTTTTCCCTCCCTCCCTTCTTTCCTTCCTTCCTTCCTTCCTTCCTTCCTTCCTTCCTTCCTTCCTTTCTGGTACAAGCAGTACAGATAGAGACTAATATTTTAAATTGCATCTCTCTGAGCCTAACATCAAATGGCATTAATCACAGTTTAATTTCTAGGGTTATTTCTGGGTACAATTGAAGTTTGGCTGATTTTCATTAGGAAACTGGCTTTAATCTCACATTTAAATTCTTTGGAAGTGATTCCCCATGCTCAGTGCTTTCTCTAGACTAGACTAGTCACTGTTAATATCAACCCTGCAGTGCCACAGAATCCCTGCTCGCTGCATAGCGGGTGGCCTTCCCCAAATAGCTCTGAAGATGATGGCTTTGATGACACTGAGGGCTTTGTCACCCTGAATGAGATGGACTCCTGTGAATTCTGAGGTGCTCTGGGGGGCACAGGATCAGCCTCTGTTGCGTGAAGACCCAGCATCCCCAGACTTGGGTGTTTCCTTACCCAGTTGTCTGACTCGCTTTAGGCATGTTTCTGTGCTGCTGATCCTGGACGCTTATGGGAGGTTCTGAACTTCCCTGCTCCTTCAGAGACATTTCACTAAGCCTGTAGATTCTGACTAGAATCGGCATTAATACTGGGAAAAAAGAGGGTTCCCTGTGTGTGTCAAGGGTGGGCAGAGATTTTAAAGGAACTGAGAGGAGTAAAGGGCGAGTGGACGTGAGGACTCCCTGCCGTGAAGAAGCCTCTGTCCCCAGGAGGGTTCAGCCCATGGGCACGGCGTGAGCCACGGGTCTGGCCCCATTGACTCACCAGTGATGCAAAGAGAAAGGAAGCAAATGTGGGAGAAGGTGACCTTGAAAAGAAGGGTACCTGGTCCCTCCCAGCCGAGTGTCCTGGACATTCCCAGGTGGGGATCCACGATCCGCTTGCGCAGTCCTGTGGGCTGATCCCTGGATCTTGCAGGATCAACTGCCCAGAGTGCAGGCGAAGGTGCCTCTATTTCCTTATTTCTTTGCAAAAGGGTGAAATTAATGAGAATCAAAGCCTGTGTGGTGAGAGTTCCCACTGGAGACTGTGGTAGAGTTCGTGAGTCAGATGCCTTTCAAGTTATGGACAAAGTCTCAGCAGGGGAATCCCAGGGGCTACCTGAAGGGATGCTGTTTGTGTAACCACAGATCAAAGGAGATTTTATTAAAAGATATATCAGGTCTGCGTTCAGCTAGTCATTTTGTGTAAACACGTCCTTAATGCACATTGGAGGTGCAGCCTCCTTAGTGTCTGAATTTACAAATATCCCAGTGCCCCTTTATGAGATTTCCCTCACTTTTAGAATCAATCATGTCCATTACCCCAACACTGTCAAACCACTTTCAGCATTGACTTAGCCCTGCGGGCATCAACTTTCCTTAGCCCCAGGGTGTCTTTTATATTTCAGTGGAGTTTTCTTATGTGTGGCATTTTGGGGTAACTATATTTAATTCTGTCTTTCTGTTTCAAAAAGTGACTCTGGAACATCTATCCAGAGGCAACAGGTAGGGTAGCAGTAGTGGATGCCAAGCACTGAGTCTGACTCCAAGCTGCTGCTCTCCATGTGGCAGGGCTGTGCTTAAATCCCACAGCTCCAATAATCCTTGTCCGTGAAGGCAGGGAATTAAAACACCAACCTTAAATCTACTCATATGCAAGCTCTCTGCTCTTATTTTTTAAGATGATGCAAATTGGAGTACACAGATCTCATTGGCCATGCCCAGCGCATTTATTCCTTCTACTGTTTCTATCATTTCATGGTAATTTAGGTTGGCTTGGTGATTCATGTTGACATGACATTACCAAAATTGATTAACTCTGATTACCTATCCTTAACTATTATCAGACACTAGAAAGCCATTCTGATCAATGGGTGTGAAGTGGGAGAACATTCATCTTGGCCTGAGAAATGTACAAAAGGGAATGCCAAATATTTCAAGTGTATTACCATGTAAGATAAAATATTTGGAGACCAGTGGCCATTGTGGAATTTATTTCTGCTGTTCTCTCCTATTGAAGTCATTAATATTAGTTGATTTAAAGATGTTTTGTAACTCTATAAATACAGAACCAATGCATTCTGGTTATCCATTTTGATAACCTGATAAAACACAAGAAAATATATTGCTTTCATCCTTGCTTATTTTCTCTTTTGGAAATTGAAAAGTAATGAACAAGACGTAAAGTTGGACCATTGGCAGGGATTTTTAAAATGACTATTCCATAATCTTTTTTATGGTTTTATGTTAAAGATGTGTTATAGATATTTTTGTAGCAGATGGATCAAAGTGGGATTTTTTTAATGATCATATGTTGCATCATCAAAAATTTGGTACATGTTTCAGAAGTGTTAAGAATGGCGACCTGTTCTCTTTTGAAAATGTAAGTTCACATTGCAAAGGGTCTAAGAGCATCATCAAAACCAAAATCAGAGCCTGACATGAATGTACTGTTCCTAGTGAAAGGTGTCTCATATAGTATTTTCAGAAGACCATATTAGTTTTGCCATAGAAAAGAAAAAAAGCTACCAAGCTTATTTCCCATGATTCAGTACCAATTCTCATTCAGGCAAACATGTTTTACTTTGTTGCCATGATGACAGTAACTAGTGAAATATACTTTAAGACCAGAAGGGAGAAAAATTGAGATAGAAAACCACTCTATGGTATTTCTTAAACTAACGTGTTGGATGGGCAATAGAATTCATTCCACCTCTTGCATATCAGTCAGAAATCTGAGGCCAGCAGTTCAAACACGATCCTGTACTTTCTCAGATTTTTGGCAACTTAATGCCAAAAATGGCCCAAATATTATAGTTCAAAATGATCCCCATTTTAGATAAATACAAGCTGGAGAGCAAAATCTGGATTCCAGAAAATCCAAACTATCCCCCTAACATGTCACTAAGAAAGAGCCTGATTAGTAAGTGCAGATGGTTTAATTTCCTATTAAAAGTGGCCAGTGCCTTGTTTAAGATAATGATTTATCATTTCATCTGGATATTATTGGTTGAAAGCAGAGGACTGATTGGCTATACTTTGAAGAAAATCATTCTTATATGCCTCTTTGAACTCAGGAATAGAAAATGAACAAGAAGCACATCATCGTCAGATGTGATTTCCACCCACACTGCGGCTATGATGCCAGAATGGGTGCCACGATGTGTTCAGAATTTAGGTGAACCCAGCCTTCCAGAAACTGACATCACGTTAATTTTACATTTTCCAAAAAACACCTTAACGTTCGTTCTGTAGTGGGAATGTCAATGGGATGCCTATAGAAGTTAGAGGGTTTTGTTACTGTCTGTCTTCAGGCAAGTCTGTAGATACAGGAAAATCAGACGTAGGCTGGTGATGACTGGCACAGATATGGTGAGTGGAATGAGAGCCAGCTAGAATATTACCTGCTGTTTGTTTGAACTCAATGTCAAACTTGCTTCATAAGTTCACAAAGTTTTCATTCTTAGTCTGGGTTAAGAAAGTTAACAGTGTTTCCTCTGCTAAATTTGATTCCTTTTCCCCTGTACCATGACTGTTGGCCAAAATCAGACTTGAACTTTTGCACTTTGGGAGAAAGCACACTATGAACCTTCAACACAAGCACCTACATCCACCACCAAAATTCTACACTGTCTGCAAGGGAAGTGCACAAAATCCAATGTAGGATTCTTCAAAAGTGTGTAACTAAATTTGTGTGTTTTGCCACTTGATGTGACTTTTGAAGATGTTATGAAATGTTAAATGCCTCATTCTGTGTTAATTTGCTGTTTCTGTTTTGTGATACAAAATAAACTTATTTGGGATTATTTCATTTTTTTTTTTTTCATGGAACCTTCTCCCGAAGCCACCTTGACCCCTTGGTAAACTTACAGAAAGTTACTGATCTTGAAATTAATTTTTAAAAGACCATATATATTAATCATAATGGAGCTTTCTTAGAATGAGGTAGCACTGTCTCCCCTTTATTGGAATGAGAAAAACAGAGCTTTGGTTGCCCTGTTGGAATGCTTGTGGATTTCTGGGTATTCCCCCTCAGGACCAATGGGGGATGGGGGTTTTTCAGCCCTTACATTTGACTTTCAAGGTTTCACTGGAAACCTTGTTGTTAAAAATGTGTAATACTGATTTCCAGTGGTCTTCATTTTTTTCCGTTTATCAATTCACTGGTCTTAAATGCTCACTTGAGAGCTGTCCAGGTCTATATCTACAAAAGTTGTTTAATGACACCTGGTAGATACACTGTTTTCAAAATCAGTTTAAGACACCAGCTGAGGCAGTGCAGGCAGGGTGCCCATTGCCCGCTGCCCTAGATCAATGTCATAAGTTTGGGGAAGTGGCGGGCAGGTGTCTCCCAACCAGTCAGCAGAAACCAACTCTCATGGGCTCCCAGCCTCAACTCAGAGGAAAACAGGCATATTTTTGAGCTGGTATCCCCGAAGTGAAAGTGTCCCGCTCACTCCCTGCTCTTGGCGAGTTGCCAGGTTCTATAACCCAAACCTCTGCATCTCTTCTAAACAATAGATTCATGAAGGATGATCCCGAGTATTGCCAACAGTCCCCCAAGCTTCCTTCCATACCAGCCCCCTCTTCATCTCTATCTGCCAACATTTGGGGGACAAAATAAGAGAATCCTGATTATGTACAGTAAAAAATGTATTATATTTTTTGTACTTAAGCTTTATGTAAATAGTTTGTCTCATTCCATTGTAAGTTAGCATTGAAATAAATTCCACCACTTAGGAAACAATTTAGTGGCATTTTTCTTTGCGTAGCCTCAGTGGCCCCTGTGTCCCCAGATGTGCTGAGGCACGATCACTACTTGAAGGATAACGTTTCATTGGACTGAGACTGCAGACGACCTCTGGGGAGAGCCCCATATCACGCTCCTGTGTGATCAGATGCCATAGCCTCTTGTGTGGAGGCCAAGACAGGACCAACCAGCTTTGTGATGATTTTGTGACGCCGTGGACAACTTTTACAAGTATTTCTATGGGCAATAAGAAGTGTGTGCCAAGGAAAATCGATCAGGTTTTTCATTTACAAGGAGTTGGTAACCTGTTCTGCTGATGATCGGTTTGCTGTTATATTAAACTCGCCTTCTCCACAGCACACCATATTTCATTCTTCCTTGCATAAAACAAGGTTTCTCTACAATGAACTGCTATTAGCATGAACACAGCTAGAAGATGCCTGAAAGACGTATTTCAGTATTCATGATCCCATTAAATCTCCTTCTCTCTCTCCATATGTATACGTATATATATATATACACACACACACACACACATATATACGTCTAATATATACTCACATTCATGTAAATATAAACATACCTGTGTATAATTCCACATATATATAATCTCCAGTTAGCACAAAGCTGAAAGGCCCATTTAATATGGATACAAATATTAACATAATAAAATAAAGCTATACAAAAATATAAACTAGTGACGCATGTGGTAATGATTAAACTACTTTTAACCCCAACTAATGAAATATTAATTTTTAAAATCTGTCTTTACCCAGATGATCCAGGCTGACTACACATTAAAAGACTTCTCTGCTTTTGGAAGGTTGGCTGTCCTTTAGTGCTAAAAGGGCAGAAGAATAATTTCCTACAGACTTTTGGGGAGGTCTGTTTTTCCCGATTAGGCAGGCTGACAATCCAGGAGATTATTAGTTCTGGCTGCATATTAGTATTATCTGGGGACTTTAAACAAATATATGTCACCCAGACCCCATCTCAGACCAAATCAGTTTGGATTCTGAGTATCTGTATTAGATGAAATATTAAAATCTTAAAGCATTCCATGAAGAACCTACATTTGACTGTTAGTTTAGAAAATGAGTGGAATAAATGCGGTACCACAATTCTCTTCCTTGTGATGTTTTTTCTGAATCTTTGTATTTACAGTGATGTACTCTAATATTTAGACATTTCCACCCCATGCTCATGTATCCACCTCCTCTTTTTAGAATCTACTTCATTCACTCTTAACAAATACAATTGAAATGTTTAAAATCCCTTTCTGGACATATTTGAAATATACAATGTAAATTTCCATTTAAAGCTCCTCCTTGAGCCCAGCTTGTGAAGAATAGTAGGGATGATTGAATGTATTGACTGCACAACTGTAGGGAATTAATGTAAGAAGAAATTTTCCTTAAAATAGTATCTGAAACTATGTTTATTTTCTGGAATTGCACTTGTTTATACTTAGTTTACTTCTTTAAAGGAGTTTGTTTATAAAATCAAACAGAAAGTGATGTCTGAAATGGCCTTTCTCTCATTAATCGGCTTGACGTACATTTTCCTCTGGAGTATATGAAGCCCTCACCCAAACCCCTGCGATCACAATCAGAACCAGATCTGAAAACAACAGGAACACATTTGATAAACATTTGATAGTTCTGGGCAGTTCAGAGCTCCTTAGACCAGTTACTAAAAGTGTAACAGAGGAAACAAAGTCAAAAAGTAATAACCCTTTGTGAAATGATCCCTCATTGAGTACACAGGAAGTGCAAAAGTTCATCTCTAATTTCAAAAGCCATTATTAATATTTTGAAAATGAGTCTTACCATAAAACACAGAGAAAACTTTGCTGAACTATAACCCAAACCTCTGCATCTTGTATGAATAATAAATTCATATTATTTTTCAAATTCATATGATTCAAATGAATTCAAATCAAATTCATATTATTTTTCAATCTTAATGCATGTGCGCTCCACGATATTTGTCAGGTGTTTGCCGTGGCCTTTGCCAGAGGGTGAATTTTTCGTCACAGTGGTGGTTTTGAAAGCAGCTCTGTTGCCCCTTTCCTGTTTGCCCATTTCTCTTCCCCTCTAACCTTAAAAGAACCTAATTATAAGAGTGAGATCACTAAGCAACTGAAACTAACTCTTGACTTATGATCTCCTGAATGCTCACCATGTCTTGTCTAACCTGTTGATACTTTTCCTAGATAAAAAGAAGTAAGATTAGCTCTCTACCCCCAGTAGGCCCTGCTAAGCAGTCCTGCAGGCAGATCACTTGGGCAGGATAATGTCTGGAGAAAGAGTCAGCCGGTCTGCACGCAGTGGAGATGCAGAACCCAACCTCCTGCCTCAGTGGCTCACTGAGATTCTCCCCCCACCCCACCCCATTTTTCCCTTTAAAAACCAACCTGGCTGAGCGGAATCTTCGGAGTTCGTCTCAGGACACAAGTCCACCATCTCCCCAGCGCCTTTCCTTTCTACTGATTAAAGCACCTTTCCTTTCTGCTGACACTTGCCTCTCAAATTATTGGCCAAACCTCGGTTTGATTACAGTTTCATGGGCCACATTTCCTTAGAAAGCTGGGAGCAGTGAAGACAGCCACACTCAAGTGCTGTGCAGAGGTCTGTCCACAGGTCTCTTCCTCTTCAGTTTCTTCCGTCTTCCTCTCTCCCACCTCAGCACTGCTGTCACCTCCTTGTTCCTGCTACTAGATGCCTGAGACAGGCATCCCCTGGTGGCCAGGCATCGCCCTTCCCTGAGAGAAGCATGGTTGGGGGAAGCAACATGGTGCCAGGACATTCCCATCAGGAGGACAGATGGGCAGCCAGGACTAGACAGCCATCCAGTGGGAGGATTCAAGTGCACACACTTGCAGATCAGCACGGCAGCTGGAAAGTCCCCATTCTGAATCTAGGAGGTGCTCCTGTTTGCTGAAGAGACAAGGGAACACACACTCGTCACACTCGTACACAGGACAGCGGCAGGGGCTCCATTCTGAACTGGGAGAAACATTTTCCATGGGCTTCAAGTCATTCTAACCTAACTCTTTGTGACACATGCATTTTGTAGGACATATTCAGGATAGATCCCACTTTAAAGCATCTGAAGCTTATGTAATTTGAGTGTCTTTGAAAGAAAAGGAATACAAAATTCACACTATCAAGTCAAGGATGAAAATTAATGTTCATTCAGATTTAGAAAAGAAATCTGTACAAACTTCAAATTTAAAAAAATTACGACAGAAACTACATATGTAATAAATTGAAGAAAAATAACAGAGTACGTGTGTTAACTGCCAGACAAAAACTATTCTACTGAGAAAATAGAAAATAATTATTAATCAAGGTGGATTACCTTGTTATGTGTAACCACATGTAAAATTTTAGCATTTTTGTCAACATTTGGAACATTTCTAACAACTTCCCTTCAGGTACAAGCTAAGACAGTAGGATGATTACCTATGCAGACCAGCTTATGGCTCTGTGTTTCCAAATCTTTCTTCACTATTCACAGACTTGGGGGCTGTGCACTGCAGGACGGGCCCTCCAATGCCACATCTTTGTGTCAGCACATGGTGACATGACGGAGGGAGGTTGAGTGCTGCCACATCGACAACAAGACTCTGCAATAACATCACTTTACATGGAGGTGACTGCAAACCACGTGCACACTCTTCCCGAAGTCCAACTGAATGTAGTCCCCACCTCAGTTTCCCCACAAACCCTCCCAGAAATGCCCACAGCCACTCCAGTGCCCCCTACTAGAAGGGGAAATGTGATAAGGGGGTGGGAAATCAGGATGGAAAGGGAAAGGAGTCTTACATGCAGTTGAATTCTTTACCTGATCACATTTTAGAAAATCACTCATATTTTAGAAAACCACATGACATATGCAAGTGAGGGGATGAAGCATGTGCTCCATTCTCTCCATGATACTCCATCTCTGGACCACTAGGCACAAGGTCTGTGCTGGAAAAATGGGAGAACAGAGTTGGCTAAGACAGCTGTGCATTTGGATCCCTGATGACAGGGAGGCCGTGTTGGGCTGGGTTCAAACAGTGACTCTGTCCTTATGGCTGCAACCTTGGGGCTATTCACTTCTCTGTGCCTCAGTGTCTCATCTGTAAATGGAGATAACAAGAGCATCAATCCACCTTGTTTTATGGCACTTCATAGATACTGTGTTTTTTACAAACTGAAGGTTTGTGGCAACCCTGCATGGAGCAAGTCTCTTGGCACCATTTTTCCAATAGCATTTGCTCACTTGGTGCGTCTGTGTCACATTTTGGTAATTCTCACAAATTTTCAAAACTTCCACCAGCAAAAAATTATAATTCACTGAAAGCTCAGATGATAGTTAGCATTTTTTAGCAATAAAGTACTTTTTAATAAAGGTATGTATTTTTTTAGACATAATGCTATCACACACTTAATAGACTACACTATAGTATAAACATAGCTTTTATATGCACTGAGGCACCAAAAACTTTGTAAGACTGGCTTTATTGGGATATTCACTTGATTGCAATGGTCTGGAATCTAATCCACATCTCAGAGGTCTTCCTGTATTGAAAAGTCCTTTTTTTTTTTTTTTTTTTTGCGGTACGCGAGCCTCTCACTGCTGTGGCCTCTCCCGTTGCGGAGCACAGGCTCCGGACACACAGTCTCAGCGGCCATGGCTCACGGGCCCAGCCGCTCCGCGGCATGTGGGATCTTCCCGGACCGGGGCATGAACCCGTGTCCCCTGCATTGGCAGGCGGACTCTCAACCACTGTGCCACCAGGGAAGCCCCAGGATAACACTTTTGAAATGACTTAGTTTGCATTTCTGTTCCCAGTCTTCCTGTTTGTTTTCCTTGCTTCTTCTCCCCTTTGAGCTGAGGCTGGGCCGTGAGTCTCAGTGCTCCAGCCAAGGTGTGAGTGAGGAGGAAGCCACCAGGGGAAATCGAGTCTTCCTGGCGTCCAGTGCAAC